CAGCAAAGAAAGCCTCCGGGGAGGGGAGGACAATGCAGCCACACAGCGTGGGGATGAGGATGAAGATGGGGCACGAGGGCAGGGTGAGCATGAGCTGCCACATCAGCCCATGTTTGATCCACAGGGAACGGGAATTGGGCAGGGAGAGGGGGCTGATGCAGGGGTGCAGCCATGGGAGGAGGCTGAAAGCCTGGGTGTGCTGGAGGAGCAGAGCACTGCTGCAGATGTGCAGCTAATGGCAGAGCCGGAGGAGTCAGGAGGGAGCCCAGAGGCAGATCTGGCACCCCTGGGTGCGGCTGGGATGCAGGAAGGGGAGCAGAGCCCGACTGCTGATTTGGAGGCAGCTCTGTGTGCAGCTCATACCACAGACCCATGGGAGAGAGCTGCCGGTGGACATGCGTCCCCTCCAGCCAAGCTCGTGTTGTATCCTGAGCGTCCCGCTGCTGCTGAGGGTCCTGGTGTGGAAGCAAAGCTGGGAGCACTCACTGGTCCTGATGAGCAGATCCTAGAGGATACCCAGCCACTGGATTTACCACAGGGAGAGAGGGCTGCTGTAGAAGGGAGACCTCTGGATGGAGCTCAAGGTCTGGAAGTGGTGCAGGGAGAGATGCTGGAGGAAGGGGCCAGGAGTTTAGTCGAAGCTCAGAGTCTTGGGCTAAAGCAGGGCCATGATGATGGGGCGTCTGCACTGGCCTCCCCGGTCTCCGAGGTGCCGTTACAAATCAGCACGCTAAAGCTGGAAACGATGATGCAGGAGGATGTTCTCGTTCCAGATGTGCGGCGACTAGGCGCTTCGGGACAGGCAGCCCAAAGCGAGCTTCAGGAGCAGGTCTCAGCACAGGCAGTTAAGGTGAGGCTTCACACTGCTTCCCAACCGCCGGAGGACAAGCCACCGCATGTGATGGAAACAGAGCAGGTAGCTGCTGGACCTTCTGAGCCTCCACAACAAGAGGTGCCACCAGTGTCAACCCTTCAGACAAGGGTCCAACAGGAGAAAGATGCTGGGAATGATCAGTTGGGGGTGGTCCTCGAAGACAGCTCACTGGGGGATGCAGCCAACAGCAGCACGCAGCCTCAAAGGCAGCTCTTGGGAGAACAGAGAGAAGACCTCACTGTTGGTCAACAGGAGAAGCAGCAAGAGGTTGGGCAGAAAACAACCCAGAAAGGTGAGCCCAGCCCAGGAGAGCCAGGGACTGTGACTGCAGGTGGGGCAGGACCTGTCCCAAGGGGATCTGCTGAAGCCTGCCTGGACCCAGACCACGTCTACAACGTGCTGTTTGTTGGGAACTCCCACGTGGGCAAAACATCATTCCTGTACCGGTTGCACGCCAACACCTTCAACCCACACCTCACCACCACAGTAGGTAGGTCTCCTCCAACTCCTCTCCAGCACAGCTCTGGGTCACCTTTCACAATTCCCTTTCCCCCACCCCACAGGCTGCTGGTGATCATTACACACGTGTTACACCTCACAGCAAGCGTGCTATAAAACCTGTCAGCAAAGACAAATAAGACCACCAATTTCACATGGCTGGATGCCCATGAGCAGGCAACGCTGGTCCTCCTTGCCCTCTCTAGGGCACCGATACCTTTTTTCCCTCTGCTTTGCCTTTCAGCTCTATTCTCCTCTCTTAACCAGTCTGGTTTCTTTCACCGCGAAATCAGAGACCTTCCCCAAATCCAGCCATTAAAGATCTAAAAGCTGGAGGTTCACTTGGGACCAGCCTGCTTGAGCCGCAGCCTCAGACCACACATCCACCGTGTGCCTTCTCCATCCGTCCTCTGACGAACTCTACAGTATCAAAATATCCCTTTTTGTGTCTCCTAGGGCTGGATTATCAGGTCACAACGCTCGTCGTGGACAACAAGTGCTTTGCTCTCCGTCTGTGGGACTCGGCTGGTACGGAAAGGTGAGCTGCTGTGCTGTCTGCTTAAGGAGAGCAACCTGTGGTTTTCTTTTTTTCCTGGTAGTTTAGTGGAAATGAATGTTCTTGTCTTTGCTAAGCAAAGGAGGGGTTAAGGAGGGACTCTGTACAGTATGTGGTCTAATAAAGCATAATACAGGAAGTAATTAAGATAAAGGCTGTTTATATGGCCTCTAGGATCGGGATAGGAGCAAAATCTGGGGTTTGCCTTTTTTGTTGACATGCATTCCCAGCTTTCCCACTGGGATTTCAGATTGTTCCTACGCAAAACCTCCTTAGACCGTATCGATGACTGTTTAAAATGCACTCAGGTACCACAGCATCGCCAAGCAGTTCTTCCGGAAGGCGGACGGGGTCGTGCTGATGTACGATATCACGTCGGAGCACTCCTTCTCGGATGTGTGGTACTGGCTGAGCTGCATCCAGGTGGGTGAAGCAGGAAAACATCATTCTGTCCCCAAGGTCTGGGAACTGGCGGTGACTCCCAGATCAGCATTTCCCCACCTGACCTCTGCCACTGGTTAGGGATGGGCATCCGGGGGTGACTGAGCACTTTGCAAAGGGTGTTCTGCTTCACTTTGATTAGAAAATGATTTTTCTTGGAGGATTTAATTTCAGATACTGACAATTTTCACATTTTTGCAGTGTTTCCTGGTGTAACTTCTTGATAGCATCTCTATGATAATGATCGACTTTTTAAAAATTAAAAACCAGAAAATGTTAAAAGTGATTTTGATAAAACTTTATAATCAAGAACAGCCCACTTGGAGTCCTGCAAAATGGGAGGTAACTTGTATCTTATTACAGACCTCTTGTCAGAGATTTCCCATCAAGTACAAAGTCAGTGTTTACGAATGCTGGAACAAAATGGGATGCCGCCTTGCCCAGTGCGTGTTTTTCCCAGGCAGAGCATCTCCTGGAGGGTTCCTGAGGTCGAACACAAAGTGAATTCACTACAAGGGTGACTCGCCCAGTCTTCTGCCCTGTTAATAGACCAGGACAGATGATTTAAGAGAAAAAAAAAAATAAATCCCTTTCTTAAATGCTGTTAAACTCATTTAAGAATTTAAGGTTTTGCTACCGGCCCAAACCCATGGGCATTCCTCACGGTGCTCCAGGATGTGTGCGGGCAGCATGGGCGGCCATGATTCAAGGGGGATTCAGTCACGCTCCTGATCCTCCCCTCTTTAATTGTCCAGGAAGGAGCAAAAGACAGAGTTGCTATTCTGCTTCTTGGGAACAAAACCGACTGCGCTGCAGAGAGACAGGTCCCCACCAAGGAGGGGGAACGCTTGGCCAAGGTAGGTGCACGGACCTGCTGAAGTGTGCTGTCCCCCAGGTTAGGCAAGGGTGCCACCAGCCTGAGGACCTGGAGAAAGGTGAAAGCCCTTAACTCACCTTTTGTGCATCAGTGGTCGGCAAAGTGACCTCTGAACCCATCTGTCACCCTTCCCTGCCTTGCTTTCCTCTTGCCATCGTAGTTTTGACTCGGCAACCCCCCAGTAAAACAGTTTATGGAAGTGGAGCTATAAATGAAAACATTTTCAGCTCTGCTTATCTTTGCTGTGAGGTGCCACAGATCTTCCCAGCATCATATAAATAATAATAAAACCACCAAGCCCTATCCTGTTTTCAAGATACTGAAATGCCAAAGTACAATTAGTCTCTTCAAAATGTAGATGGCTAATAAAAAATAGGTGAGAAGAATCTCACTTGTACAGACTTAATTTCAAAGTTTATGGGATTTGGGCCATCATCCATTGACCAGTTTTATAAATGGAGGCCGCACAAGGGGTTAGATGCCTTTTTTTTCTTTTTTTTTTTTTTTTTTCTTTAACAAACCAGTCACTGGCAGGCACAAAAGACCTGGCAACATCCAGTTATGTCTCTGTATTCGCTCCACTAGTCAAAGACTATCACATCTCATTGTGTCTGAAGTGTCAGCCTTTTCCTTGATACTAAATGTTGGTATCATAACTACTTTAAAAGCTGGATTTCACCCTCACATTCCAGTAAATAAGTTATTGAGTTATTTGTTTCCTTGAGTCCTTCTGTTTCCCCTTGACCATGACTGTCCCATGGCTATTTATTCCCATATTAAGCTACTCCAACACAAGAATATTACATTTCTGTTTGGGCTTTGTGTCTTCCAGGAGCATCAGCTCATGTTTTACGAATGCAGTGCTGCCTCAGGCCACAACGTCTCCGAGTCCATGGTCGGCTTGATCAGGTGAGGCATGGGCTTGGATTTTGCCGGCTGTCCTGAATTTAATGGGCTCCCTCTCTGCTTTTTTAACTCCCAACACTGGTGTGCTACTGCCACTCGAGACTCCCTGTGCCCAAATGTCAGGGAATACTCAGAGCGGCATGTGCACAGCTGGGATGAGCCGGAGATAAGTGCTGTAAGAACAGCCAGCACTGCAAAGAGATTAATAAAACCCTTCTCAGGATGCTGCCGGTTTCTCCCTGGGTTGACTGAAATGAATTCTGCCTGTGATTTGATTTAGGTTGGCATTTTTAGCAGAGTCCACGGTTCTCAAACCACGCTGAGCTGGAAGGCTCCTAACCCCTTTCAGCTGTGCCGTGCATCCTTTACCAAGGCTTGTCAAGACAAATCGCACAGCATTGCGAAATATGGGGGAAATACCCGGCTAATTTGCTTCCTTCTCTCCCAGGTTGCTCAAAGTTCATGAAGATGAATTAAAAACTGAGGCAGAAGAGGTACCAAAGCCACCCCAGAAGAAAAAGGGCTGCTGCTAGCAATGGACAGATACCTCCACCTGTGACCAGTTGTGAAAATGCAGCGACAGCCAGAAAAGTATAAAAATAGCCCTTGGGCACCATCTCCACTCCCCGTGTGTCTGCCTTGCCTCGTCTCCCTCGGATGCTGAGAGCAAAAGCCGCTGTGGAGGAGCCGGCTGTCACCCGGCCCCTTCCCCGCTCATCTCCTGCCCTTATCCCAGGGCACGCGAGCCCCATGAAATACTGGTTGGAAAACTTTACCGCTTTCTTCTGGAGACAAAAAAAAAAAAAAAAAACAGGCTAAGGAAAGAGGGAGAAAAGGAACCCAACTAGATCCGAGGTGCTGGAATGATACTGGAAGCAGTGGGGAGTAAAAACAAGTCTTGGGATAAAAGAAATGAATACCAGGAGTCACCCGAAGGCCAGTGGATCAAACAAGGGGACTTAGGGCTGTCGGTGCTGCTGTGCAGCAGTGACTTTTGCTTCGGCTTTTTCATCAGATGGGATCTGGAACAATGAAATATTCAATATATCCTAAATGCACTTTGTAAGTCTCTCCTATTAGGCAAGGTAAAGCTCGTTTTTTCTCTCTTCCCGATTTGTCGTGCTGGTGAGCAGTAATGCGTCTTGACAGAAAACTACTACAGACTATGCCCAAAATAAATCCAAAAGCCCCAAAATCACATCCAGGGCAATAGAAAGAGCACTGGGGTGGTGGGATATACGATCAGAGAAATGCCTGCAAGAGCCCTTTTCCTTGCACTGCTTCCAGAACGGATTTTTTTTGGCACTATCGCAGTAAATCTCAGGACGGGCAGGGAAGATGCCCTTCTGCAACCACGACGGCTTCGTTATGAAGTGCTGCGTCGGTTTTAAAACCCAGCGTGAAAAATCTAATCTAAGCACATGTCACAATTTCAGGGTTGGTTGTTTGTTTTTTCTTTTCCTTTTACAGCTTGATGCAAAGAACTACATTTTTGCAGAGAAAGACACACAGACTAAATAAACAAGAATACAAATATTATATTTTAGTGTCTTTATATATCACCTGTGTTGCCTGGTCCCTTTTTTTTAGCAGGTGTATTTAAAGACTGTGCTTACATGCAGATTTGGGGGAAATAATTCTGCTCAGATGGGTTTGCTTTGTGTTGCCATTACTATGTATAATTATGGCAAAGCATAACAGTAGCCAGTTTCTGCTTTACAAAAGTATCGTGACAACAAGAGCTGGTTTTCTTAGAACAGTATGTATTTATTTTTTTTTTTAAAAAAAAAAAAAAGAGGATATCATTCTGCATGTTTCTGACTCTGTTATAGCTCAGCTTTCCAGGGACACAAGGCTCAAGAGCTCCTGATGCCTGTGTATACGTAATTGTTTTTCCTTTCCCCGCTTCAAAGGGTTTTAGAGTCCACGGGCTGTTTTTAGCAGTCCCCGATGGGTGGCAACCGCAAAGCTATGAGATGTTGCGACTTCTGTAGGAATAAAGGCCGGAGTAACTGAGACTAATTAACATCCCCATTGATGGAAAAATTGCAGTTTAAGTTTAGTCTTCATCAGACAATGACAAATCTCCATGCGAGAGACCTGCAGCACACAGAGCCAGGCGAGAGCGGACTTTGCTGGTTGTGCTGCTCACAGAATTACACCCTGAAATGGGGACGGCTCTGTGTGATACCCAAAAAGCGCTCAGTGGCAATGATGTTGATTTGCAGACGGAGATGTGCAAAGACCACCGATAGCCCAAATTCATGCTCAGTAAAACCAGGGTTATGAGTTGTACCCAGGTAGAGTACAACTTCGGGATGACGGAGGAATTTCTGAGTCTTTCACAGCTGACTTACCCCCTCTGCATGCCCCATTTTGGGGCTCCAGCACCTCTGCACCACCAAAGCTCCCACCCCCTAAGTGTCTCCCCCTGCCGTGAGCCATCCTCCCTTGGCTCTACGGTGAAAAGACTTTCTTTTCTTAACGTAATACATTTACACTCCCATTCCCTGTCTATCCCTCTTAACCATATTTCTTTATAAAATATTTTTACTGATGGAGCAGTGGGAGCAGCTTGAGGACCACAGCTCCTCAGGAAGAGTTTACATGGCTCAGTTCAGAGTTTTGCCTGGATTCAGGGTTGGGTTTTTTTTTTTTTTGTGGTTGTTGTTTGGGTCCATCTTCACTATTTCTGCTTTGCTGTTTTATCTTAAAATAATATAAATCCAACCACACTTTGCTAATCTGGTCTGTGATAGGATAAGCACCAGTTCAGCCTAATTAACCCCAAAAGGCTCTTTTTACTGGGTCTGTGTGACCCCGTGCAGAGCCGCCCAGCGGCACGTACACTGAAGCCATCGTCAGATCGGCTTTTCCCTTCGCCTAAATTTGCTGGGATTATGTGCAGAAGATGCAGCTTGGCAGAGTGGCAGCAGGATTGTGCAGGAAAAGGTTTTTATTTGCTCGCAATAGAGTTGAGGTCGCCGAGGCTAAATCCTCCCATTAGATGGCAGCAAATGCAGGAATACCTTCGAACTGCAATATTGCCTCTTCAAAGAAAGACCGGGGAGCTTGAACAGGGCCCCAAATAGAGATCTGCGAAAGAAAAACGCTTCCCAGAACACCGGAGAGCAAGAAATGTCTGCCTTATTCCACTAGAAATCACGTCTAGAAAAAAGGACTGAGTTTGTGCCCAAAGGTGTTGAGTAAACAAGTGTCGCTCCCCTCCAAACCTCCCTCCCAAACTTGGAAATGAGTTTTTCACTGCCAGGTTGAGAGAAACACCATGAAGGCAATAAAGCCCGTTGGAAAACACTATCAGCATGTTGCATTTAAAACATCATTCACCTGTGATAATTCATGGTCCCAGCAAACGTTCCCACTCCAGAATCAAAGGGACCGCTCATTTGCAAGCTGTTAAATGTGTGCAGGAGTGTTTGGAGGAGGATCAAGGTCTGAGATAATAATAGCAACAGGGAAATGCATACTTGTTTGGACCGCAGGAATTTTTTTTATTTTTTTTATTTTTAAATCGGGTTGTTTCCCTTCAAGCCATTTGTAATTCCTCAAGGCACTTCATGAGAAATAGAAGAGCTGCACCAGCCAAGCCAAGAGCACAGAAGATCTCAGGTACCAGCCCAAAATCAGCAGGCATTTACCATCGTCTCACTTTGATGTGTCCACCTTGAAAGCAGAGAACCCAGAGAAGCTCCTGACGAGCGGGGCTGACTCATCGGGCAAAGCTTTCGGTGCTCCATCCACGTCCTCCACAATTTCACCCTGTTCCCCTCGAAAGGCAGTAAAACAGGGACGTGGAGACCGTCCCGCTCCCCGCGCTGGGATTGACAGGGCAGGAAATTCAAAGCTGATAAGAGGAAGCACTTTTTCTTGCAATGTTTAATTAAACTGCAGAATTCCTCGCTGCAGGAAGTTGTTGAGGCCAAGAACTTAAACAAGGCTGGAAAGGGACCGGAGAGACACCAAAAATGCTGTGACCGACAGCTGGCTCTGAAAATGCATTTAATTGCAATTAAGGACCGAAGCCTGTGCCCGAGAGCTGGGGGAGGCTGAGACCCCTTGCTCCTGCCTTCTTCTGAGTTTTTCACGCTGGGGGTGGCTCTGGGGACCTCCGCTTGCTCCATCTCCCAGCCCTTTACTCCTGGAAGCCTTTCCCATGCTTTTTAGGGCTTCCCCACATTTTTAGGGGGTTAACACCCCTGTGCATGGTCACTGTTTGTCACTGGAGCTGTGGGAACAGGCACCCATGTCCCCGCGGGGCTGGGGGTAAGTGGGGTTCAGGGGGGCACTGGATGGATCTTGATGGGGAGCAGAAATGGGGCTCAGCGGAGCTGGAGGAGGTAAATGGGTCTGGGGGGCCATAAAGGGTGATGGGTGGGTGCTGGAGGGGGATGCTGGGGTTGTGCCGAGGACTTAGGGAGTGCTTGGGGGTAGAGAGAGGATCTCATGGATTTGGGGGGTATCTCATGGGTGCTGTGGGCTCAGGCGGGTGCTGGGAGGGTCTCTTAAGGTTCCTGGGGGGGGTGTTGGGGTGCGAAGGTGAGCTGTGGGGTGAGTTGGGGGTCCGGGGG